CGTTTACAGCGTGTCTGAAACACATTGTGGCCTGATGATGTTGGCTGAGCCACAGGCCTAATGTGAGGTTGGCAGCTGTAACTGTAGTTAGCAAACATGGAAACTTGAGCTCAAATTATTCTGCAAACTGGGTCAGAGCCCAAAATACTCACTAATAGCTGGATCTTTTATTCACACTGTTTTTAGGCCACAGCTGAAGTTTGTCTGAGAAACATCAGCTCTGCTCTCTGCTTCTGCGCCTCACACAAACTATAAATGTAGTCCTGGATGAGTCTGTGTGAGAGACGGAGAAGTCAGGCTTCCTGCAAACACACTGTGAGTTTCATGTATAACACACACACACACACACACACACACACACACACACACACAGCTCTGATGAGTTTAGTCGAAACTATTTTAGCCTGAATGATAATAATCTTCAAACTGTGAATGTTTGTCAGCTTGTTTTAAACTTTCAGCTCATTTTTCTTTTACTTTTACACAAATGACTCATTTTTGACTGAATCATTTCCATCGTGTGTTTCAGTTCACAGACATTATTAAAAATATGGTAACATGAGCCTTCATCACTCTGCTGTGCATCCGTCCGACTGCAGGCACCTCCACATGTCATCCAGACAAACTCAACATGAAGTGACATCATAGTTTACCCGCTGGGCAGCCTGTTATCAGGTTACCAGGACTACAGAGTGGATTATCACCAAATATTAATCAGGTATAGCTAAAAGCTAACGCTAGTTTGTACAACATCTAAATAAAAGCTCTGTTAGTGCCAGCAGCCGCTCAGCGAGCTGGATTATTGGTCATTAAAAAGGCTCCAACAGCACAAACAGGGTCCAGAGGTCCAGTTCAGGGACTCTAATTAACTGAGGTGAAGCCGAGCAGACAGCAGCCACCTGTGTCACCATCCACCTGTCAGTCAAAGAGGCCACGCCCCCAACAATGCAAACATTAAGCTTAAAATCAGCCCGTGTACTGTTATGAAGATCGAGGCTGTAAACATGTTTACGTCTGATGTGAACACGTAGGTTTGCAGGATTGAGTCACGTTTTTCTTCAGAGTTTGATGTTTGACAACAGCACCAACGATCAGCTGAGCTTCAGTTCAGCTTTTAAACTGTAACACAGCTAAACTTCACTGATGGCCACGTGAGCTGGAGATCGTTTATCATCCTTTCATGTAACGCTGAGTATTTCTGCACCACACTCTGACCTGTTGTGAGCTCTTAAAAGCTTTAAAAAACAAGTAAATGTGAACTTTTGTAATCTAGGTTTTAGGCCACACCCCTCTGACAGAGGTGGCGCTCGTGGGAATAACTGGATCAGGGGACACAGGTGTGCAAACACAGATGCTTCATCCAGAGTAACACAGACAGCGTTCAGTTAGTCTGAAGGATTAAGGTTTGTCTGAAGACGAGCACAGAGACTCTTCCTCATCGTCTCAGGTAAGTTTTATTTACATGATTTTAATTTGAACAAACAGTTTTAGAAAAATGTTTCTATGTAAAAACAAAAAACAGGATAAACAAAGTCTCGTACAAACAAAAGGGAGCAACACAGAAAAACGTGAATGACACACACACATCTTTATGG